ATAAAAGAAGGGCAAGAGAAGAAGAGAGGAAGGAAGAGGGCCAGAAGCCAAGGGCCCAAACTAGAAAGAGAAAGAAAGAGAGAGAGAGAGAGAGAGAGAGAGAGAGAGAGAGAGAGAGAGAGAGAGAGAGAGAGAGAGAGAGAGAGATGTGGAGGTTAAAGGAGAGACATTCTTAGAGTTCGGTCTTAGGAGGAAGAGCCTGATCCCGTTTGAGAGAAGACAAGCACAGCCAACGCAGTCTTAAGGGAACATCCCGTTTTCCGGAGACAGGGCCAACTAGGACAAGTCCCTCTTTGACCTGGAATCATGCATGTATAATTGCTACGTCTCTTTTCCTTTGTAGAACTTCATCGAAACACCCTTAAACAGAAAGATGTCCCAATCTCTAGACGAGACATCTAACCTTTAACCAGTAGAATTATCCTCTTGAATACTTATTTCCAATAGTATGTTCGTTGACTTGGGAGTCGAAGAACTTTTTGAAGAGAAACCCTTATTCGTTTTTCCTAAAGGCCCGGCTGACTCTTCTCTTCTGTATAGTGTCCACATGGCTCGAATAGACTTCCGTCCGGAAACAGCTCGTTGTCTTTCCCCAGAAAATGAAATTTAGAAACATAACTCCTCCACCATAGTACGCTAACTGCTTGGGAATATGCGTGATTTACCAATGTACATAACTCCTCTCACGTGGTATTTATAAAATACTACCGATGTATAGCTTTTGGTAATTTTGTACATGTTAAAAAAAGTGAATTCACTTAAAAAGATATAATATTACATATTCTTATAAGAAATAAAAACAGAGCATGCATGGTCTATAAAATTCACCCAAACTATATTAACTGGATTCACGATTTCAAGAAACTGTAATTGTATATCCAAATTGATGATTTATGCAAAAAAAAAAATTATTTATATGATGTAGCTTATATTAAAAATAAAATAAATATTTTTTGATTTGTTTCTTCTAATTTGTTTAAATTAAAATTACATATTTTTTTATATAAAATGTTACTAAAAAAAACAAAGAATTAGCGATTGAATGTTGCCACTGGTTGTGTAGTCGCCAAATTTAGTGACTGAATTGTGACGGTTTTGCTACTTATTTGCGACCAAACGGTTATCGTCGCAAAACAATCGCTAATTTGCGACCAAGATAAGTAGTCGCATTATAGTTTAGAGGATTTTATATCCGACCTCAAACCCTAATCGAACTAGATCTCATTTTCTGAAACAAAGAAAGAAGAAACCTTTCGTGTGTTGCGAAGAGTGGCTGTGGAAGAGGGAAGAGAAAAGGAAGGGGTGCGGCAAATGGCTCAAATCGAGCAACACCCACTGCTCATAGTGATTTACAGATGTCGAATCCAATAAGACCCACTGGTCTTCCCAGCTAGTATAACTTCACGCCGGCGAACCCTCAAGCCACCGTGTCTCAACGAAGTCCTGTCCCAATCTTCCAGCCTCCAACGGGTCCTAGAATCAGAGATCCACCTCCGACGAATCTTTTTCAGACCACGTTGAGCCATCCTGGAGCCTCTTATGAACGCCAAACTGGAATTTGTTTTCCATTGGCTCAATCTCGACCTTTTGTATCTTAACCACTTCGAGCCTCTGCGGCGAATCATCCTGCAGCATCTCCTGAGGGCCAAACTGGAATTCGTTCTCCATCGGCTCAATCTCGACCTTCTATATCTCAACCACCTCGAGCTTCTGTGAAAAATCATCCTGGACATTCTCCTCCTCATAATTCTCAAGCGCAAAACTCACACGAGGAAGAAGATGAGGAAGACGCTTTAAGGGAACCAACTCTCTCAGAAGACGCACTCGCTGCTTTACACAAGTTGATTCTCCAGCCAGGCCGTGAGCTATATACCACTGTCCTCTCTCCCACATTGGAGCTTGGAACCACTTGGTAAGCATCTTCTTGTTCAATTTCTGACACAAAGAGCAGCACAGTTTTTCAATATGGGTCGGTAACACAAATATTAGGTCCCTCTACGAGATTTGATCTCTCACAATAGTCTGTTATAACTTAATAATTTGGTTGGTGCAATTATAAGTTAGAAACATTTATGAATCTCTGTGTTTTGGGCTTAAATCGATTGTTTTTTATGCTTAAATCCATTGTTTTTTGTCTGCCTATGCTCTTGCTCTAACTTTCATTTCACTGTCATCCTAATAACCGTTTTGTTTCTATGTTTGTAGGTTGGGTAAAGACAAAGGCGCACTGACCCGAAAGATTACAAAGGTTTTTACAAACAAGTTTGATGAGGCATATTACAGTTGGAGTTGTGTGTCTATTCCAAGAAGAGAAAGATACTTTTTGCAATTCGCGGTAAACTTCTATCACCTCTCAATTTGCTGTAACCTCTGTGTTTATAATTTTGTTTGTTTTTTTGATCACTAACATCAATCTCCCGTCTTGTTTTGTAGAAAGAACACACCTGGCTTCCCTCACTGACCGGTGTGGTTCAAACAAGATTTGAGAAGATTTGTCAAGTTCGTATTAAAGACATGGTTTCCAAGGCAGGGACTCGAGGAGAGAAGCCGAGGTGGATTGGCGATACATTGTGGAAACAAATGTGTTACTATTGGGACACAAAAAAGCCAAAACAAGGAGTACGACCACATCAGCAGCTCGAATGTCTGACCGTAAAAGTCTTGGTCCTCACAAGCACGTATCGGGGCAGAAGTCTTACTTACAGGTCGAACAAGAGATGGTATGTTATATCAACATACACTTTGAGATGATAAGTTACATCAGGACACATATATTTCTTCTATCATTTTTCATTGTTTAACATTTCAGGAAGTAGAATTGGAAAGACCGCCGACTATTGGTGAAGTTTTCATCAGGACTCATACAAAAAAAGATGGAACTTTTGGTGATAACAAAGCGCAGGAAGTATGTGAGGCATAAAAGAAGAAAAAGGAAGCTATGTTGGTTGAACTCGAGAATGACGAGTCTTCGGATGGTACTTTGTGTCGATCACAGCTATCTTTAGAGGATGATATAACATTTCAAATAAAGTATTCTAGGTTTTTGTTCTTCAGTTAATCTTCTATTATTTGATTTTAAATATTATCCGCGACTAGCCATTTTTTTTAATTGTTATTGTGATTGTGAGTTTTATTTGGTTTCTGATAAATATCTTCTCATGTTTGTTGAAGGATCTTGTATTGGGTCATCATACAAAAAAAAGTTGAATACTTTTTCAAAGATCTTGAATTGGTTTATCTTCTTGTCAATAATCTATCTAATAATCATCTGACTTGACGATTGACAGTATGTTTTTTTCTGTTAAGGTTTAATACTCTTTGTTTTGCTTATGCAGTCTACTTTCACAAAAGGCAGAGGACAAGTCTATGGAGTTGGAAGTCTAGGGAGTTATATCAACAGGAAGCGGAAGTACCCGGCAGGCTCTTCTTCTTACACAAGGCTGCAACAACAGCTTGAGGAAACTTGCCGCAAAATAGAGGAATAAACAGCTCTACAGGCACAGCGTGAAGCAGAGATTTCACGGGTTGCAGCTGAGCAACAAGCAGAGATCTTGACGATCGTGAAGAAGTATGATTCTGCTATTGATGATGTTTGGACATAGATCCCTTATCTTTCCCTCCTTCTCTGAACTTGAAAACCTTAGTGTGTGAACTTGTTAACTCTGTTTTTAAATTTTGTTTTCTTAAATGTGTGAAGTTGAAGTTTGTTGCTTTTGAAGTTTGTTTTTTTAAAACATAATTGATGTGTATGTGTTTTAAATACTAAAATTTCAGAAGTATTTTTATATAATAAATTTGTAAAAATAACAATACAAACCAATATTTTTGAGGTTCTGATTAATTAAATTAGTCGCTAAATCAGTCACAACATAGTCGCTAAAGGTTACGACTGATTAGCGACTATATACAACAGTCGCAATTTAGTCTCAAAGCAGTCATAAAACTTAGCGACTAAATTGCGACGCAACAGCGGCGTATGGAGAACAGTCCCACATCAGTTGCGACTTTTTGTGACTATTGATTTTAGCAATGCATTGTTTGATGACTACATGTTTTAATCGCAAATCAGTCATAAGTACTGTGTTTGTGACTGTTTACCGACTATTGTTGTAGTCGATAATTCCCTGTTTTCTTGCAATGTGTCAAACTAATCCATATATAATGTTTTGGGGTCAAAATTCACAATCTCTTTAATTCATAATCATATTATCATGTCATTAATAATAATGTATATGTACATTAATTTATTTGCCATTACTTATTTTATTGTTTTAAAACATAATCAAAACTTTTATATTTTCACACTATGTAGAGGACGATACTTACTGAATGAGTACATTTAAGATTATTCTAAAGAATTAGAAAATAGTTGATTGTGAAGTAGTTTAAATGTTTTACTGGAATTTAATTAATTTTATCAAAATGACAACAAAAATGGTAAGAATTGACATTTTTTTTATTCCTTTATTAATTTTTTATTAAATATCTTAAAAATGACATAAGAAATGCAGTAAAATTGAATAACACTAATATTCTAACACTAATATGTGATAGAATTCAAAAATCACTAAAGTTTAAAGTAATTTAGAATAGTGACTACAAATATTTAATCGATTAATACATGAATTTAAGAGAATTTGTGAAATACAAAATTGAATAACTATATAATTTTAGATAAAATTAATTCCTTCTAGTTTCAAAATAATATAATATTGAATACCTCCCCCTTGGCACATAAAACTGTGATACCTATATGAAACCACATTTACATGTTACTAATAATTTAGATGTTTGGTAACAAAAATGTACGGTCTTCACAACAAATGCTAAGACGGTTCCACACTCACAGCACGTTTCCATTCATTGTCTATATAGGAAACCGTACTCGATGCTTCTGTTCTCAATCTTCACACCACTTTTGATCCTTCTGTAGTTCCTCGAATTCAGAAAACTAATTAATTTTAGTTTTAAGTTTTAAGGTCTAACTTAAACCCACAAAAATGGATTATTCAGAAAATATTCCCTCCAATGATCAAAACAAAAACCTCACTACTGTTGCACCACCACCTCCTTCATTTTCGTACTTGACAAGAGATCAAGAGCACGAGATCATGGTCTTTGCTCTACGACAAGTCATATCGAACTCAGGAGGTGACACGTCATCATCAAAGTTGATCGCCGGCGAAGCTCTTCCACCACCGGACGCTGGTCCTTGTCCTCTATGCGGCATCACTGGTTGCTTCGGCTGCGCATTCCCACGACAGTTAGAAGAAGTAAAGGAGAAGAGGAAGTACAAAGGAGTGAGGAAAAAGCCATCGGGTAAATGGTCGGCGGAGATATGGGATCCGGTTTCAAAAGAAAGGAAGTGGCTTGGAACGTTTCCGACGGCGGAGATGGCGGCGTTTGCTTACGAAAAGGCGGCAGCTGAGTTTGTCGGGAGAGTATCAGCGAGACAGCGAGGTTGAAATGAACAGTGAATTAAGGCCAGGGTTTCACCGGTTTGGTGGAAATGTTGTATTTTTGAAAAAAAGATATATGAATAAATTAAATTAATATAGGTTTATAATAATTGTGAACGTTAGTTTTTTTTCTTTCTGCAAACTACAAAATTATTTTGCCATATGATACAAACAAAATGATTAAAGATATATGTATTCAAATACAAAATGATACTTCCTCTGTTTTTTTGAAGTATGTAATTTTAGTTTTATTCTTTGTTTGTTAAATATTAACGTTATAGTTAGTAATTAATGTTTCTTTTGTTTTTCAAAAAAAATATTAGTTAAAACATTTTCTTGAAAAGCTTGGAAAGAGAAAAAGTATTTGCAGTATGATTAATATAAAATTAAAAAGTAAAAAAAAATATTTAAAAAATAAAAAGAAACAGTTATAGAAAATGTCTTAATTTGTGTGTAATGCCTAAAACTATATATTTCAAAAAACAGAGGAAGTAGTTTTTTAGCGAAAGCAAAGTTACATCATAAAACAACATTGATTATAATGCGAATGCAATTTATAATCTCATGAAACGAATGCAACGTAAACTACGTGCGTTTATGATTATATATAAAGTTTTGATCACATAAAGCTAATATTAATTTATTATATAAATTATAATAGAGTGAGTTGTGTCTTGTAAGAGAATGATATATTAGCACTCTTTTCCCTGACACATCAGCATAAAAAAATATAAAAATATTTTAAATTAAAACAAAATTATTTTTTGGTGAATACTTCAGTCAAACCAAAAATTGTTCTTTCGAAGCGTTTCTCCTACCATTCAATTTTATATTTTCAATACAAAAAAATTCTTTAAATGTATGGAAGGTCGAGACTTAGAGCATCTCTAATGTATAACTAGGTGGTGGTCCGCGCATGACGCGTGCAATGAACATATATTTAGCTTATTTATCGACACATTTAAAAGAAAAATCTAGACATTAGTGCTTATATAAATAACATATTTCATGTCATCATATGTTTCTAAAGTAGCACCATTGACTATCCGATGATATCATTTTAAACATAAGGGAGAAATTAAGACAAATGATATTATAAGAGTTGCACAGTTCAAATCTCTACTAATCGATATCCAAATGATTTTCTTCTTCGTCTGCATCCTCTTGTTCACTACCTCCAATCCTATCCAAGCATATACAAAACATATTAGTTACGACAACAATTGATCATTATCATACATTGTAAACAATGACTGATTTTAAAATACAGTTATCTTACAGCATATCCCATAACTCAAGTGCCTCTTGAATATCAGGGTTGAATAAAAACCCTTGAGATGCCGGCTTGATCAGAAACGTGATATTCCTCTACAAAAAAGTTTTGATATGGTTAGAGGTCATTAAAGATCACGATTTTCTAAAGTATTAGATAAATAAACTTGAGATAGTTAGAGATGATTGGTACCATTGCGTATAACGACTCACCAGTCACTTAGAATGCAAATAACCAACTTCTGTTCTTTACAACGATACCACCTGTCCTTGAACTCAATAGCCAATTTTCCATGTGCATAACATGTTATCATTCGTTCACTAAAACAATATTAGATTGAGTTGTTCTGTATAATAAATCTAAGTAGATTTATTATTAAGATATAAATAAGCACTTACGTTTCATCTATCAATGTAAACTCAATCCTTGATGTCATTTTTTACTCAAAAACATCAAACTAACGATCTCTAACCAACTCAAGTTCGCCAACCGATTCAACAGCACCAACTAAATCTGTAAGTATTATTTCAAAAGAAAAACATCTATAAAATGAAATTATCGATCTAAATTACAATGAGTAATATTGAGGAAGACTCACCAACAGGACAATTTCGTTGAAAGTTGCCAAGATAGAGGTTCTCGTAAATAAGAATCTGCATATGTGGATAGTCTCCATTGTAGATATTTCCTGTTGTGAAATCTTCCAAGATTCGAGTGTTAGATTGAAACTCAATCTTCAAACAATTCTTGGTCATTTGTCTCACCGATCTCGCGAATACTACATTGAAATTTCGTATTCTTTTCCATATGCCCCCCTCATGGAGCCTCTTTATAAAAAAAGAAATCATTTCTTCACTTCCTACTGTTGCTTGAATTTTCGAACCCTATAACATATACAATTTTATTTACAACTAAAAAATCCAAACTGAAGTAAACAAAAGCAAGCGAAATTCTAGCAAGAAGAATTACCTGGTCATCAAGGAGAATGAAATGAAGTACGTCGCCACCATCTGGTATTAATTCAACCCATCTTTTATAAACCATTACTCTTATAGTCCAATCAGTTCTTGAAGAACCCAACTCACTAATTCTAGAGACACCAGCCATTATAAGATTTCAGAAAACAGTCTAAATTTGATTAGAGATATCTTTTTCTCTGTATATATCAAAAATATTTTAGTCTGTTATGCTAAGAACTGACTGCGCCAATTGCTTCTTTATAATAGAATCTCGAAAATAAGTCGGATATCGAGAAGTTACATTGTCAAAATTTGAATCATTGTGCATGTATAGAATAAATGAAAAGAATCAAACGGTTCAGAGTTTTTGTTATTTGTGACAGTTCGCATTCTCCAAGACAGATTTCAGCCATTAAAATTCAAAAATTAGAATAGTAACGTTTCATATTGATTTTAAGAACTTGAATTTTTTTTGTCACCGAGCCTACCGAAAGGCCTTTTTTATTACTGGGCTGATGTAATTGTCACATTTTAGTTAGTCCAAAGCGTAACTACTATACTGCTTATTTCCAACTAAATCAAGTAAAAATTAATAAACCAGCTAATAACTTGTTTCATGCATTAAAATACAAATGTAATTTTTAGGAATAGACATTACCATTACCAATTCGTTTGTTCGAGTGTAGACGCAAGCATAATAAACATAATAAATCCACCAAGAAAAAAACACTGAAACCAACATATAAAGTGAAACTAATTTTTCCCACGAGTCATAGATTCTCTTTCGATGGATATTTCGAAACACACCTTGCAGTGGAAACCTCTTCGTCATATTGTAACCTGTCGTTAGATCCATTATATTACTAAAGATACATTAGATAATCTAATTAAAATTTCTGAATATAGTAATATTACCTATCACGAAACCGATGAACATCCGGAAGGTCTGCATTGAAAATAAATTCACAATACTTCTTTCTTGCGATGACATTAAAAGTACCTATTACAAAGATTTAATACAGTAATTCATTGAAAAGTAATCTATTGTAATAAGTGAACAATACCAACTGTATGTAATTAGGCAATACCGTCATAATTTTTATTGATAGTCCACCACCTCAGGATACATATAACTTCTACACTGTGACTTTGTTTATATTGCAATGCAAAATCTTCAGCCAATTTCCCCATCGCATAACACTCGATCACACATTTTCTACACAAGAAAGTGTTCAAACAATGAGATACATTGTTAGTGTTCATGCTGAATATTCAATTCATTTACCTGTCATCTTGAAGCTCAAAATGAATTACAACGTAATCTTCTTGTATCTTCGTCTCATCAAAAATATCGAGCTCACCAACATTCACAAAAACACCTATCAATTCTGTAGAAATTGGGTAATCAAAATTCAGAAACTCTTTCTTGCCTTTTATGGTAATCGGATCTATTATTAATAAACGAAGAAGTTACCGATACTATACGTGTCATCGAGACGGCCTCCAAGAACATCTCCAAAATCAGCAAATGATAAAAACAGAGAATTTATACGCTGGCTGACCGTAAGAAATGTTGTATTGGTAACGAATTTCACCTTAAAAGGATGCCTTACTACACGAGTTATAGCATTCGAAGTCTTAACTACAAAACCACTCAAAAGACTCCAATGACCTATTACAAGATCATGTTCAAATAAATAGATATATTTATGTCCAATGGAAGCCTGTATCTTAGACCCATGCACAATCATGCAAGATTCAAACAGAACATGTATAGATCGTATGAGATATGAAAAGAAGCAACATTTAATTACAGACTTGATTAATAAACGTACATGAATGTCAACGAAGATCAACTTTAGTTTATTTCGGCGATGTCTATCTTTATCATGCCATTTCTTGAGCAGCATAACATCAAGAGCAGGATCGACAACCAGATGATCTAATTCATAGACTTTTAAGAACCGCGACATCTTAAAACAACTATCAGATTCAAAAATTTCCAAGAAAACGAAGTAATTCTGCGACAGAGGACTATGGCAAGTCACTTTATCAGTAAATAAGTGAAGAGAGAAGAAACAGTTTTTCGCATAGACATCGAGTATATCAACCATTAGAATAATATTATTTAGATATACTGTGTTCGTATCATCGACTATATATAAATTGCAAAAATCGAGGTAAATGTTGAGAACATATAATAAACTTTAAATATATACAACATTATGAATACTGATGTATCAGCTAAGATATAACTTTATATTACCGACAAATCACAATAAACTGTACTCCTCTTACAACCATTTATATAACCAAAGCGAATATTTATGTAAAATTAAGCCCATAAATCTATGAAATTTCTGTATCTAGCCCAAATAACGTAAATAGAGGAATCCAACTATCATGTGCTTATATAAGAATCCACCAAATACTTCAGGTCGTTTAAAAAGTAGAACCCTAATTCAGAGTATATCAAATGCCGACAATTCTACCAATCCACCTACCCAAGCCGAATATGGCTAAAACAAAACTCGAAGGCTGGATGGACGCTAATCGTGAGAATTACGAAGCGATGCGTTATCTCTACACAGAGTTTCCAACCAAGTGGGTTTGGCATCAAAGGATTAGAAAGTGGCTCCCTCGTCAATGCGACAGAAAAAACAATGTTCCCTATGATATACAACTACCAGACGTCCCTGAAAAACGTGGTGAACTTTTCTACCTTAAAACACTGCTTCAGGTACGAAAAGGACCAACGTGTTTTGAAGATATCA